AACACTGCTGTCCATTGGCGGGTGGAACTTTGGCACGTCAAGGTGAGGTTTTGCTGTTACTGTCTCTCCCTGGGAGGGTGCAGGCAGGCTAGAAGTGAGGACAGCTTGGCCATGGACAGCAAAGTTAGTGCTCATAGCTCCCCAAGTCAGGGTTCCCTTGACCCCTGTATTCAGGGGACACCCTGACCTCTTCTCTATGGGGTTCAGATGAGATAGGAATTTCCAGCAGGTGGTATGAAAAGGAGGGTCAGAATGGGGCACTCACAATTGTCCTCTCAACCGTACAGAAGAGGAGAGTTTTTTTATCTTCCAAGGGGAGGAATTTTGTGCAGAATGAGATGAATAAGCCTCCAGCCTCTCAGGGCCTGGGTTTCTTCACTTTCTAAATGGAGCCAGTGATAATCAACCTCAAAGGGCTGTCTCAGAGGACAGGAAGTAACAATAGTATGTTCAGCTAGTGCCTTGGTTACACAGTACGACTCCACATGTGGTGGCTGCTCTTGTTAGCCTGTCACCATCCAGAGGTAATATGGAGATGACGAACTGCCTTCATTGTCTCTGAAGAAACCTTCTCACTATTTCATGGCTGGGGCCTGGGAGAGGCCATGTCTGGCTTCCCGCCTTAGGCATGAGATGCAGAGGGAGATGTGATACTACTTGGGAAGGCTATCCTGGTGAGATGGGGAGGTCGGGTGTGGGTGGTAGGCAGCTTTGCCCGGGCCAGGCTTTACCCCACCACGTGCTGAACACTCCTTGGGCCACACGCTGGGCTAGAGCTGCATGTGCCTTATTTCATGAATGCTCGGGGGAAGCTTACAGAGTGGCTGCCTGTGTTCCAAACTGGTAGGAAAGAAAGCAAGGGTCCCAAGTATTAAGGAACTTGCCCGACTTGTCCCAGGTGTCCCCTCAGGAATCACCCAGTAGGAGGTGGCAAACACGAAATGAAACTCAGGCCTGTGTATCTTTCTTTAAAATGTGGTTAAATATTCTCATCAAGGCCCATTGAACTGGCCCCAAATTGCTTAAAGTTCAGCTCCAGTAAGTTTGAATTTTTCTAAAAGTGTCTTCACTGTGGAGGATAAAATTAAAAAAATTTTAAGAAATCAAGCAAATGAACAAAAGAACAAAGATATAGGAGCCCCTTATCTGAGTAAGTAGTTCAGCCCAGGCCTGGCTTGGCTCATGATAGAGTCAGAGGAAGAAAGTCAGTGCTAGGACAGGTCGTGGGAATTGAGCAGGTACCTATGATGAGACAACACCAGGCAAGTGCCTTGCCAGTGGCATACCATGATTTGGGGGCAGAGCTGGACCAAGCCAGCTCTCCCCTCTCCAGCCTGTTCTCTTGGTTTTGTGCCTGTGCCACCTGGTCAGGGCAGTGCCTGGTTTTCATCTGCTCTCTGCTGCCTGAATTCTCCTCGATATGTAGCCTTTGGTGCTAGAAGGGGCACTAGAGAAAATGTGAGACTTTCAAAGATCTGCTCTCCTTTCCTCCAGCCATACCTGCAAGGTACCTGAAAGGAGACTGTGAATCTGTGGATAGTGTTCTTAGCCTCCCCCCTCTCTCTGCAGGTTCACCACAATATTGTCCACATTTACCAAACGTTCAAAGTTTATTGCTTCAGTTATTCCCTTCCTGAGGACACATGGCTTCGATGGTCTTGACCTTTTCTTCTTATACCCTGGACTGAGAGGCAGCCCTGTACATGACCGGTGGAATTTTCACTTATTAATTGAAGTAAGGCCAGTCCGGATGCTTCAGAATCCAGAAATCATTCTACTTTTATTATATCTGGGCTCGTGGGAGAGGAGGAGCATAAGGCCAGGGGCAGGAGAGAGGTGACAGAGTGTTCTTGTACTGCCATCACCTAGAGGTGTAGGGCAGAGTGGCTGCTGAGCAACTCTGTGGTCGCTTTCCATTCTCTGCATCCTAGACCTCCTCCGGTCCCTAGCCTCAGCGATAGCTGCAGGACTCAGCTTGCTGGGTGCCCTTAGGCAGTGTCAGCCTGCATTTGTGCTCCTGAGCTGGCTGGCCACTCCTTGACTAGATCATTCACCATGTTGGGTTGTGTTTGACTTTCTCACCAGCCTGTGATAGGGCCTGTGTCTGTGTCTGACTCACCTATGTGTCCCCAGCACTTGACTCATGGGGTTCAGTAAATGCTTCTGTCTGGTACCACCCCCTCTACTAGCATCATCTGTTTCTCTGCATCTTTCTCTGTTTCTTCCTAGGAGCTCCTGTTTGCCTTCAAAAAGGAGGCGCTACTCACCATGCGCCCAAGGCTGCTGCTCTCTGCTGCTGTATCTGGGGTCGCAGACATCATCCATTCAACTTATAATGTGGGTCTTCTAGGAAAGTGAGTGCATGTTGCCTCAGTTGGGCAGGACAATGGGAGGAAGAAGGCATCTTGACTTCTGAACCCCAGAACTTCCTAATCACTGTCTCTGAGCTTCCTGTGTGTCAGGTGCTTGTGCTTGTTTGACGGAGGATTTAGGAGCACGATGAGCACAAAGGCTACCTCCATTAATCCCTAGGGCTTTCTTTAGCCAATCAGAGAGGATCTCATTTCCACTCACAACAATATTAGCAGGGATAGTCTTCTGCATAGCCCATTGCCAGGTCTTACAGAGAGAGAATCGCAGGGCTTTGGCTTCTTCCCACCCAGAGCACAGCCGTAGGCCTGCACTGTGCACAGGTGCTAGCATTAGAGAGATAGGTAAATTAACAACTGCTGCCACAAAAACAAAACTAGGGACGTAGTCATACTCTTCGGAGCAGGTTTCCATGCCTAAATCAGCAGCTAGACAAAGAATAGCACACAAATCTTTCTGGACATGCCAAGTCACGGCTAAGTTTTCTAGAACCTCTTGAGTCAAGAATTTACATATGAGGAAACAGAAGCAAATGCAGACCAATAGAGAGATGGGCATTTCTGTGTGTGATTGTGCTAGGGAGAGTGATTTCAATGTAGAAGGAAGGATGAGAGACGGTGGGGGGGGGTGAGGGGGACAGGGAAGGTCATAGAATTTTTTAATTAACCCATCTGAGTTTCAATTTCTTTACCTTTAAAATGGAGATAGGTACAGTACTTAGGGCATTGGCCAAGTAAAAATTACATGAGATAGTCAGTGTAAAATCTTATACCTGTGACCTGATA